TCAGGAGAGAATGCTTCTAGAACATGGCCATATAGCCCGGAAAAATCACAGTAACCCAGTGATTCCAGGAGAGTACTTCTAAAATGGCCAGATATCCTGAAAACCACAACACCCAGTAAGGAAGAATGCTTCTCGAACACTGGCATATAGCTGAAACAACCTACAAAACCAGTCGGAGAGAATCTTCTAGAACAAGGACCATATAGCCCTGACAAAAAACCTACAACAACCCAGTCAGGAGAGAATGCTTCTAGAACATGGCCATATAGCCTGAAAAACCTACAACAACCCAGTCAGGAGAGTGCTTCTAGAACATGGCCATATAGCCTGAAAAACCTACAACAACCCAGTCAGGAGAGAATGCTTCTAGAACATGGCCATATAGCCTGAAAAAAACCTACAACAACCCAGTCAGGAGAGAATGCTTCTAGAACATGGCCATATAGCCTGAAAAACCTACAACAACCCAGTCAGGAGAGAATGCTTCTAGAACATGGCCATATAGCCTGAAAAAAACCTACAACAACCCAGTCAGGAGAGAATGCTTCTAGAACATGGCCATATAGCCTGAAAAAACCTACAACAACCCAGTCAGGAGAGAATGCTTCTAGAACATGGCCATATAGCCTGAAAAAAACCTACAACAACCCAGTCAGGAGAGAATGCTTCTAGAACATGGCCATATAGCCTGAAAAACCTACAACAACCCAGTCAGGAGAGAATGCTTCTAGAACATGGCCATATAGCCTGAAAAAAACCTACAACAACCCAGTCAGGAGAGAATGCTTCTAGAACATGGCCATATAGCCTGAAAAAACCTACAACAACCCAGTCAGGAGAGAGTGCTTCTAGAACATGGCCATATAGCCTGAAAAACCTACAACAACCCAGTCAGGAGAGAATGCTTCTAGAACACGGCCATATAGCCTGAAAAAAACCTACAACAACCCAGTCAGGAGAGAATGCTTCTAGAACATGGCCATATAGCCTGAAAAAAACCTACAACAACCCAGTCAGGAGAGAATGCTTCTAGAACATGGCCATATAGCCTGAAAAACCTACAACAACCCAGTCAGGAGAGAATGCTTCTAGAACATGGCCATATAGCCTGAAAAAAACCTACAACAACCCAGTCAGGAGAGAATGCTTCTAGAACATGGCCATATAGCCTGAAAAAAACCTACAACAACCCAGTCAGGAGAGAATGCTTCTAGAACATGGCCATATAGCCTGAAAAAACCTACAACAACCCAGTCAGGAGAGAGTGCTTCTAGAACATGGCCATATAGCCTGAAAAAAACCTACAACAACCCAGTCAGGAAGAATGCTTCTAGAACATGGCCATATAGCCTGAAAAACCTACAACAACCCAGTCAGGAGAGAATGCTTCTAGAACATGGCCATATAGCCTGAAAAAAACCTACAACAACCCAGTCAGGAGAGAGTGCTTCTAGAACATGGCCATATAGCCTGAAAAACCTACAACAACCCAGTCAGGAGAGAATGCTTCTAGAACATGGCCATATAGCCTGAAAAAAACCTACAACAACCCAGTCAGGAGAGAATGCTTCTAGAACATGGCCATATAGCCTGAAAAAACCTACAACAACCCAGTCAGGAGAGAGTGCTTCTAGAACATGGCCATATAGCCTGAAAAAAACCTACAACAACCCAGTCAGGAAGAATGCTTCTAGAACATGGCCATATAGCCTGAAAAACCTACAACAACCCAGTCAGGAGAGAATGCTTCTAGAACATGGCCATATAGCCTGAAAAACCTACAACAACCCAGTCAGGAGAGAATGCTTCTAGAACATGGCCATATAGCCTGAAAAAAACCTACAACAACCCAGTCAGGAGAGAATGCTTCTAGAACATGGCCATATAGCCTGAAAAAAACCTACAACAACCCAGTCAGGAGAGAATGCTTCTAGAACATGGCCATATAGCCTGAAAAATCTACAACAACCCAGTCAGGAGAGAGTGCTTCTAAAACATGGCCATATAGCCTGAAAAAAACCTACAACAACCCAGTCAGGAGAGAAAGCTTCTAGAACATGGCCATATAGCCTGAAAAACCTACAACAACCCAGTCAGGAGAGAATGCTTCTAGAACATGGCCATATAGCCTGAAAAACCTACAACAACCCAGTCAGGAGAGAATGCTTCTAGAACATGGCCATATAGCCTGAAAAAAACCTACAACAACCCAGTCAGGAGAGAATGCTTCTAGAACATGGCCATATAGCCTGAAAAAAACCTACAGCAACCCAGTCAGGAGAGAATGCTTCTAGAACATGGCCATATAGCCTGAAAAAAACCTACAACAACCCAGTCAGGAGAGAGTGCTTCTAGAACATGGCCATATAGCCTGAAAAACCTACAACAACCCAGTCAGGAGAGAATGCTTCTAGAACATGGCCATATAGCCTGAAAAAAACCTACAACAACCCAGTCAGGAGAGAATGCTTCTAGAACATGGCCATATAGCCTGAAAAAAACCTACAACAACCCAGTCAGGAGAGAATGCTTCTAGAACATGGCCATATAGCCTGAAAAAAACCTACAACAACCCAGTCAGGAAGAATGCTTCTAGAACATGGCCATATAGCCTGAAAAACCTACAACAACCCAGTCAGGAGAGAATGCTTCTAGAACATGGCCATATAGCCTGAAAAAAACCTACAACAACCCAGTCAGGAGAGAATGCTTCTAGAACATGGCCATATAGCCTGAAAAAAACCTACAACAACCCAGTCAGGAGAGAATGTTTCTAGAACATGGCCATATAGCCTGAAAAACCTACAACAACCCAGTCAGGAGAGAATGCTTCTAGAACATGGCCATATAGCCTGAAAAATCTACAACAACCCAGTCAGGAGAGAGTGCTTCTAAAACATGGCCATATAGCCTGAAAAACCTACAACAACCCAGTCAGGAGAGAATGCTTCTAGAACATGGCCATATAGCCTGAAAAACCTACAACAACCCAGTCAGGAGAGAATGCTTCTAGAACATGGCCATATAGCCTGAAAAAAACCTACAACAACCCAGTCAGGAGAGAGTGCTTCTAGAACATGGCCATATAGCCTGAAAAACCTACAACAACCCAGTCAGGAGAGAATGCTTCTAGACATGGCCATATGCCTGAAAAAAACCTACAACACCCAGTGATCAAGAGAATGCTCTAGAACATGGCCATATAGCCTGAAAAAACCTACAACAACCCAGTCAGGAGAGAATGCTTCTAGAACATGGCCATATAGCCTGAAAAATCTACAACAACCCAGTCAGGAGAGAGTGCTTCTAGAACATGGCCATATAGCCTGAAAAAACCTACAACAACCCAGTCAGGAGAGAGTGCTTCTAGAACATGGCCATATAGCCTGAAAAACCTACAACAACCCAGTCAGGAGAGAATGCTTCTAGAACATGGCCATATAGCCTGAAAAAACCTACAACAACCCAGTCAGGAGAGAGTGCTTCTAGAACATGGCCATATAGCCTGAAAAAAACCTACAACAACCCAGTCAGGAAGAATGCTTCTAGAACATGGCCATATAGCCTGAAAAACCTACAACAACCCAGTCAGGAGAGAATGCTTCTAGAACATGGCCATATAGCCTGAAAAACCTACAACAACCCAGTCAGGAGAGAATGCTTCTAGAACATGGCCATATAGCCTGAAAAAAACCTACAACAACCCAGTCAGGAGAGAATGCTTCTAGAACATGGCCATATAGCCTGAAAAAACCTACAACAACCCAGTCAGGAGAGAAAGCTTCTAGAACATGGCCATATAGCCTGAAAAACCCAATGATTCCAGTCATGAAAGCCTTCGACAGTTCAGTACGAGGGTTGAATGAAAAGTAATGCCTCCGCCTTCGCAACTCCTCAATAGATGGCAGTGCTGGTATGCGGCAGGTACTGGCTTGTTCAGTAGACTCTCCTCTACAGTTCCATTTTGGCAGTAAGTCTTAATATTGAACGGTTGTGTTATTGAAGTGCAAAATATGGAACCTTCGCAAACGATCGGTCAATGCGACTTAAGCAACGTGCAGTCATTGAATTCTTGACAGCAGAAGGTGTCATCCCAAAGGAGATTAATCAGAGAATGCAAGCTGTTTATGGTGATTGTGTTGATGTGAGTACTGTGCGTCGATGGGCAAGTAAGTTTAAAGATGTTGAGGTGGGAACATTTGACTTGCGTGACAAAGAGTTGGACGTCCTGTGACAGCAACGACTGAGTTTCACAAGCAAAAGGTTGACAGATTGATTCAGGACGATTGTTGTATCACTCAGAGAGAAATTTCAAGCATAATCGGCATTTCACAAGAACGTGTGGGTCACATTATTGCTTTGCTTGGCTACCGGAAGATCTGTGTACAATGGGTACCCAGGATGCTGACGACTGAAATGAAAGCGCACAACAGAACTTCAGAGACTGGATCTCACCACCGTACGGCATCCTCCATACAGTGCAGATTTAGCACCGCCTGACTTCCATCTGTTCCCGATAATGAAAGAAGATCTGGGGGGACATTATTATGCTTCTGATGAAGATGTTGAGAGAACTGTGAGACACTGGTTGCAGAAACAGAGTGTCGACTTCTTCCGTGACGGCTTCAGCAAACTTGTTAATCGTTGGCAGAAATGTATCCAATTGTTTGGTGATTATATGGAAAAGTGAATAGTGGTAAAGAGCACATTCTAAGGATTATTTCTGCGTTTGATTTATTAAAATATTCCCATCCAAACCCAAGTAACAAAGGTGGAAGCATTACTTTTCATTCAACTCTTGCACATAATTCTAGGCCTTCCAGCCCAATTCTACAATCAGCTTTTGCTGGAATAGAGTCATAGAATCGCACTGGGGAAACCTAGAGGTTTCCTAAAGATGGTGTTTTCAAATTAAAGACATGAATATATATTCAAGGTCAAAACTGGAAATGTGGGGATGTGCGTGTAATTCATGTTTCTGGTCTTTTGTGTTTCTTTAGTGGTCTTTGGATTGCTCACGCGCATGGGTCGTCCCCTTGGAGCAGCTTTGTTTCCTCCTGGGCTTTGCGGCGGGGTCCCTTCTTTTAGGTCACCTGGCAGACAGGTAAGGCTGTAAGATGTTTTAGAATATGTCAGTGTGGTTATATAGCAGGCATGGGCAAACTTGGGCCCTCCAGGTGTTTTGGACTTCAACTCCCACAATTCCTAACAGCCTACCGGCTGTTGGGAATTGTGGGAGTTGCAGTCCAAAACACCTAGAGGGCCCAAGTTTGCCCATGCCTGGACTATACACAAACTATAACTTCCCGTGCCTCTTGTCTTCAGCGTGGGGCGACGCAGCACTCTCCTGCTGGCGTTGGCACTCGGCTGCCCTGCGGGCATCTTGGCGGCATTTGCGGCCTCCCCCTCGGTGTTCATGCTTGGCCGTTGCCTTTGGGGAGCGATGCTGGGAGGCATGCAGCTTGCCCTCTACCTTAGCCGTGAGTATTCCCATTACACCTTTTTGTTTTACTGCAGTAGCATTGCTTGGAAAGAAATCCTATTCAGTTGGGATTCGGTGGTACGGGGTCCATCTGAGCTAAAACCTTATTGCACATGGCATTCAGGACAACCCACCTTGTACCTGAAGAAGGTTGTCCATCTGTACAAAAACCTTATTGCACGTGGCATTTGGGACAACCCACTTTGTACCTGAAGAAGGTTGTCCATCTGTACAAAAACCTTATTTCACGTGGCATTTAGGACAACCCACTTGTGCCTCAAGAAGGTTGTCCATCTGCATAAAAACCTTATTGCACATGGCATTTGGGATAGCCCACTTTGTACCTCAGGAAAGTTGTCAATCTGTGCAAAATTCTTATTGCACATGGCATTTGGGACACCCCACCTTGTACTTCAAGAAGGTTGTCCATCTGTATTAAAACCTTATTGCACATGGCATTTGGGACAACCCACTTGGTACCTCAAGAAGTTTGTCAATCTGTGCAAAATTCTTATTGCACATGGCATTTGAGACAACCCACCTTGTACTTCAAGAAGATTGTCCATCTGTATTAAAACCTTATTGCACATGGCATTTGGGACAACCCACTTGGTACCTCAAGAAGTTTGTCAATCTGTGCAAAATTCTTATTGCACATGGCATTTGGGACAACCCACCTTGTACCTCTTTCAACTTAAATAAGGTTGGTATTATAGATATATACATTTGTATAAGAAGATTTAGTATGTGTAGAATCTACGCGAATGATAGATAAATATAATGAATATTTAATGTATACTAGTAACCTACAAAAGAAATTACCTTTAAGATATGTAAATAAAGCCGAGTTTGAATAAATTAATGGATAAAATAAGGAGAAGGATCACTTTTCAAATCTGGAAAAGAAGAGGAGAAAAAAAGGGACAATATAAAAAGATAAAAGAAATCTGTAAGTTTTCTGGGTTGTATGTCCATGTACTAGAAGCATTCCTGACGTGTCGCCCAGATCTATGGCAGGCATCCTCAGAAGTTGTGAGGTCTGTTGGAAACTAGGCAAGTGGGGTTGATTATCATTGAATGGCCTTGCAGCTTCAAAGATTGGCTGATTGCTGCCTGAAGGAATCCTTTGTTGGGATGTGTTAGTGTTTTGTTTGTTTATTTTTTTCATGTCAGAAGCGACTTAAGAAATTCTTGTCAAGTATTCCCCTGTTTTTTTTTAGTGTTGTTCTTTCTTTACTGTCCTGATTGTAGAGTTTTTAAAAAACTAGTAGCCAGATTTTGTTCATGTTCATAGTTTCCTCCTTTCTGTTAAAATTGCCCACATGCTTGTGAATTTCAATGGCTTCTCTGTATGGTCTTTCCAGACAAGAATCAATCAGGGCCAGCTAACACCTTCCAACAAAGGATACCCATGCAGCAACCAGCCAGGCTTTGAAGCTACAAGGCCATTAAATGCTAAGCAAGGTGGCCAATTGCAGCAGTCACACAAGAGTTCTTTCTCCCACCATGGACATTCCACAGATATATAAATCTCACTTGCCTAGCATCCAACTGACCTCAAGACTTCTGAGGATGCCTTCCATAGATGTGGATGAAATGAAAGGAGAGAATGCTTCATGGCCAGAAAACTCACAGCAACCAGGGAAACAGGCAAGAATTACCAAGTTAAAGGCTAGTTAAAGCCTTAATTCCCTCTCCCCATTTTTTTTAAAGGCTTGGAGCTGTGCTGTCCTCCCCAGCGGCTACCTGTGGCCATGGCAGGAGACCTTCTCATGGTGGGAGGCCATTTCCTACTTCTAGGACTGGCATTGGCTTGTGGAAGTTGGCGGGTCCTTCAAGGCGTGATGTCTTCTGGACTTGGGCTTTGCCTGCTGTATGGGTAAGTTACATCTCCCCAAGTCCTACCCCCTCCCCCTAATTTTATCCGTGAGCTGCCTTAGGTTCCAATTGAGAAGAAAAGTGGCATATCTATATCTATATCCATAATAAAAGTGAAAATATGTATGTATGGCTGGGGTGCCCATTTTTACAGTCAGGCTCCCACTTCCACAAACAGCTATGATCCCCACCTACGAGGAACCACCAAAGGCCCTCTCTCCAGTGACATTGCAGGTTATAGTGAGTGCCATGAACATGTCCAAGAGCCCTAATATGTCCTCCACAAGCACAACACTGCCCACCATCCAAAGAAGCTTTCATTCAGGAACAATTTCATCCTATATTTTATGTGTTTCCACCACCACGGTCATCCCAGTGTTTCTTACTCTCTTCATTGATGTGGAATTTGCATGATGCTACCCACTGCCTCTCCCATAACTCTTTCCTATTCTTTTCTGCGGGGCACAGCAAACAGAGTGGGATTAATCAGCAACTGAACATACTGTAGAGGGCTGGGGGAGTGGCTCAACATGATGGAAATTGTAGTTCACCCTTCATCAAGACAGAGCACTGTGATCCCCACCAACAATGAACCTGGACCACATTTGGCACACATAACCCCATGACCAACAAAAAATACTGGAGAGGGGTTTTTTTTTTTTTTGGGAGGGGGGGGGATTCACTTTGATTTATAGCAGTTGTAGGTACTGGGATTTATAGTTCACCTGAAATCAAAGATCACACTGAACCCCCCAAAAATCGCAGTAGACCTAACAGAACCCCCATGAGCAACTGAACCTACTGAAGGGGTTTGGGGGAACTGACCCACCGTGGTGGGAGCTGTAGTTTATCCTGCAGCCTGAGATCAAATGGACCCCACCAATGATGCATCTAGAGAGCAAACTTGCCCAACATGACAAACTTTAAGTATTGCTGGAGTTTCAGGGGGTTAACCTGGCATGATGTGAGTTGTAGTTCACCCACAACCTTATGCGTTTTGTAAAATAAAAAAAATAACTTTTTCAAATAACGCAGGTAAGGCCGGGGATCCAAGCTAGTAAATGAATAAAATAAATACAAATAATCGCTCACCATTGTCCAAGGTTGAAGGGAGTTGTTGCCCATCTCAAGTCTAGACTCTGGCCATTTACAGTCTAGAACTTGTTTGCTTGCCTTGTGGGAGGATTGTTAAGGTCTGCGTGCCTCTCTGATTCCCTCCCTTTCCCCGTCCTTTCCAAGATGTCCTGGATTTTATCCCGAATCTCCCCGTTGGCTTTTGGCCACTCGCCGCACAGCTCAGGCCAAGGAGATTTTGATCGATCTGGCCCAAGGAGGGGGTGCCCAGGAATCAGAAGCTCAAGAGGCATTAACAGGTATGTTTTGGGAAATGCCAAAGCACTGTTAAATCAAAGTAAATTGACCTATAGTCATCAAATCATAGCTTAAGCAATGGGGGGGAGGCCTGAGCAAACTTGGGCCCTCCAGGTGTTTTGGACTTCAACTCCCACCATTCCTAACAGCCTCAGGCCCCTTCCTTTTCCCCCTCAGCCGCTTAAGCGGCTGAGGGGGGAAAGGAAGGGGCCTGAGGCTGTTAGGAATGGTGGGAGTTGAAGTCCAAAACACCTGGTGGGCCCAAGTTTGCCCAGGCCAGGTGTAGATGCACCCAACTAAAATGATTTTGAAGGTAGCTGGAGGAGCATGGGTTCATCATCTTTGTCCTCTATGGCTTTCCATGTTAATTCTGGAAGGACATCCCTTCTCTTCTGAATGCATTTCCTTCTGTCTCCTCCATTCTGCATCTTCTCTTTGGAAGAACTGGACAACGCTTGCCACCTCCCTGCTGCGGCCCAGATCTCCCTCCGCGCCCTCCTCTCCTGCAGAAACATCTGGAAAAACATCCTCATCCTTGGTTTTACCACGTAAGTGGCTCCTGATGCGATGTCCCTCGGAAGCAGAAATTTGAGGACAGGACAAGAAAGGAACGCGAGATGGTACAAAAGGAGAAAATCCTTCAAAGGAGGCAGGAAGGGGGCTTAGAGCTGAGAAAAGGAAATTGGTGGCACCCCAGGAAACTGTTCACACACCTCTGAATGGAAGTCTAGTTCAAATCTGTATGTTTTGAGCTATTCCTGAACCACCATCCTGAAGTTGTAAATTCTTCACTTGATAGGGAATGTTGTCTGGTGGCCAAGTTAACCAGGGGATTCTGGGAGTTGTTGTCAGTAATCTTGGCCAAACTCTTGAGCAGTGAACAACAACTTCCTGTTTTTGTAAACAAACATGTATTTATTTATCATATTAGAAGCAAACCGAGGGTGCAGTTGTAATGTATTTGAAAAACACGAAGTTTAAAAAACTTGGCATTATACTAAATGTCCTTTGACCAGTAGCTGGCCACTTGGAGTGCCTCTGGTGTTACTGTAAGAGGGTCCTCCACTGTGCATGTGGCAGGGCTCAGACTGCATTGTAATAGGTGGTCTGTGGTTTGCTCTTCTCCACACTCGCATGTCGTGGATTCCACTTTGTAACTCCATTTCTTAAGCTTGGCTCTGCATCTCGTGGTGCCAGAGCACAATCTGTTCAGTGCCTTCCAAGTTGCCCAGTCTTCTGTGTGCCCAGGAGGGAGTCTCATTTGGTACGAGCCATGGACTGAGGTTCTGGGTTTTTAACCTGTCACTTTTGGACTCTCGTTTGCTGAGGTGTTCCTGTGAGTATCTTAGAAAACTATTTCTTGATTTACGGCGTTGGCGTGCTGGCTGATATCTGACCAGAGGATGGTCCTGAGATGTCACTATCTTGGTCCTTTCATTTTTGGCTGTTACTTCCCGGCAGATGTCAGGTTGTGCAATAGCCACTAAATAGTATAATTTATCCAGTGGTGTAGGGCATAGACATCCTGTGATAATGCAGTATGCCCCAATAAGACCCACATCCACTGTTTTAGTATGGTGAAATGTGTTCCACACTGCATATGCGTATTCAGTAGCAGAGTAGCAAAGTGCAAGGGCAGATGTCTTCACTGTATCTGGTTGTGATCCCCAGGTTGTGCCAGTCAGCTTTTGTATGATATTGTTTCTAGCGCCCACTTTTTGCTTGATGTTCAGGCAGTGCTTCTTGTAGGTCAGAGCACGGTCCAGGCTAACTCCCAGGTATTTGGGTGCGCTGCAGTGCTCCAGTGGGATTCCTTTCCAGTTAATCTTCAACTCGGGATGCTTTTCTGTTCTTAAGATGAAAAGCACATGCCTGCATTTTAGATGGATTAGAAATCAGCTGGTTTCCCCTGTAATAGGCAATAAGAGCACCTAAAGCTTCGGAGAGCTTCTGTTCAACCATTTCAAAGTTCCCTGCTTGACCGGTGATGGCATGATTGTCAACATAGATGAAACTCTCTGTCCCCTTGGCAGTGGCTGACAATTTGCGTAAATGTTAAACATTGATGTTAGCATCAACAAAGAAGTGAAAAGTAAATACTCAGCTATGCCATACATTCCTTTTTGGTGTCCGCACCTTCCTCCTCTTCCTCTTTCCCTCTGCAGATTCATTGCCCATGCCATCTGCCACTGTTACCAGCTCGCTTGGGATTCCCTGGAGGACCCACACACCAAGTTCTACCTCTCCTACCTGCTGTCGACCGGCAGTGCGGGCCTGGCCTGCCTCTTCCTGTGCCTGAGCGTGGACCGGTACGGGCGCCGAGGGATCCTCCTGCTGACCACCACGCTGACTGGCATCGCCTCCCTGATCCTGCTGGGCCTGGGAGAGTGTAAGCAAGACAGAGCATTACGCATTGGGCCCACATGCTTGGAAGCTGGATGGAGATTTGGGCTGCATCTGCACCATAGAATTAATGCAGTTTGGCAGCACTTTAACTGCTAAGGCTCAGTGCTGTGGAATCCTGGGAGCAGGAATGACCAGAAGACCTTTCTTCTGGTGGTTTGCTTTGATTTTCCAAAACAACAACAAAAATGTTGTTCTGATATTGGAAAGAAGAAACAATACATCGTGAACGGTGCTGGGAGAACTCTCTAGTGGCCACAGTATTGTATTGCTTCTATTCTAAGATACCCATATAAACATCTCTAAAAACTAGGTGCACCTTGGAATCACAAGTAAGATAGATAGATGGATGGATGGATGGATGGATGGATGGATAGATAGATTTGATGATACTGAAAATAGTAGACATCTTAGAAGCAAAGAAATACAGTAGATGGGCAGCCACATGTAGCCTATAGACTACCACCAGAATTCGGCAGCAAATTCTGTTGATGATTTTTCTCTATCACTAACAAAAAAAGAACAAAAACACGCAGAGCAATGTTATATTTTCCACAGGAGGGTTTTCTTTATCGCAAATAATATGGTTGCACTATGTATTGTCGAAGGCTTTCATGGCTAGAATCATTGGGTTGCTGTGAGCTTCCTGGGCTGCCTGCCGTGTTCCAGAAGCACTCTCTCCTGACATTTCACCCACATCTATGGCAGGCATCCTCAGAGTTGTGAGGTCTGTTGGAAACTAGGCAAGTGGGGTTTATACATCTGTGGAATGTCCAGGGTGGGAGAAAGAACTCTTGTCTGTTGGAGGCAAGTGTGAATGTTGCAATTGGTTACCTTGGTTAGCATTGACTGGCCTTACAGCTTCAAAGCCTCGCTGCTTCCTGCCTGGGGGACTCCTTTATTGGGAGCTGTTAGTTGGCCCTGATTGTTTCATGTCTGGAATTCCCCTATTTTCTGAGTGCTGCTAATCAATGTGGCCAATTGCAACATTCACACTTGCCTCAAGCAGACAAGAGTTCTTTCTCCCACCCTGGACATCCAACAAATATATAAACCTCACTTGCCTAGTTTCCAAGACTGCACAACCTCTGAGGATGCCTGCCATAGATGTGGGCTAAGTATCCAGAGAGATTGCTTCTGGAACATGACAATGCAGCCTGGAAAACTCACAGCAACCTAGTGATTCCGGCCATAAAAGCCTTCGACAACCTATCTATTTATGTATCTCACCTGCAATTCCAATGCACACCCCATTTTTAGAGATTTTTACATGGACATGAAGTATGCAGTACATTAAACTGGTTTCTTCTGCAGCCTAATCCATAGGAATAAAAGGATATCGGAAGTATGTAAAACCCAGGACTCAGGCTGCAAACCCAGTTCTCGTTTGTGGAAGATTCAACTCCATTGTTGTGTTTTCCAGATGCTTCTAGGAAGCCCAAAATAGGTCTTGAAGCTAATCGCTTTCCCCCATTTCTTCCGCTCAAAGCCAAAGCTAATCAACCTGGATGTTTGCTGTAGTCGTTGTACTGCCAAAACCATATTTTGAGTATTGCTTGTCTAAGATTCATAGGACTGCCATAATTCGATAGGAAACTTGAAGGCGCATATGTGCCCAGACGGCTCATCACTAGTGAAAGTTCTGTCCTTCGCCTTGCATTGGTCTTAATCCCCTTTTAAAGCCGCCTTAAACGGGTGGCAGCAAATACTGTTAAGCCAATTATGGTGTGTTAGGAGGACTTTCTTTTCCCTGTCCTGAGCTCAAATACTTTTGTGGGATGATTCTCAAGTCATAGTCATAAGAAGCAGTGATTTCTCTGTGCCCATTTTCTCAGTGCTCAGCTTTATTGGATAATCTTTGATTATCACGATCTTCTTTTATTGGCCTTTTTCTCCTAAAAAACCAACAAAACCCTAACGATATGGTCACCTTTTGGGGAAAATATTCTAGTTCATTTTGGTTGGCCTTTTCTGCATCATCCCGGAGTCTTAAGAGTTGTAGGGTCAAGTGAATATATTAATTTTGGAAAATGGAAATCTCCAGAACTTTTTGGATATTTCATAATTTTTGGAAAGGCATGACCTTGTTAGAAGTCAAAACCTTTTGACAAATGATGCCATAACCTCTGGGTAAAAGCATGAAGAGTCATAACCTTTTGGGAAAATGGCATTCATGCAAGGCAATTAGGTTTCTCAGCTGTTAAACTGATGTATCTAGGTATGTCTTTGAACTGTTAGGGACAAAAATATGCCAATGCACAACAGTGCACATATAACAGAGTTTCAGAAGAGTTCTTTTTAGTTGCCCCAAAACTTATACTCTCCCTTAAAATATATTTGCCTTTAACCATGCTCTCAAGAGACAAAAATAAGCAGACTTCTTTAGAAATAACCTAGTTGATTTACTCACAAACTTTATGTATTCAGCATACAGGTACTTTGCTTATCATTCCACTTACAGATAGGATTTGAAGTTGTTTCTCTGTGTAGGTGATACAGAGCATCTTTCTCATAATCAACAGTCAATAATCTAAAGCATCTCTCTGTTCTGAGAGTCTAATAGAGTCTCTGTCTAGTCTGAAAGTCCAGTGGAGTCTAATGGCTTCTGTACAGCATTCTTTTCATACAGACTTCTAAAAGCATACAGGTACTGTCTTTTTAAAAGCATACTCTGTTCTAAAATGGAGTCTGAGTCCTGAACAATCCCAGTTGTGATTACATGGTTTGCAACCTCACCTGCAACAGTTAAAGTAAAATTGTATATCAATACACATACATACAATACAATAAGCAATCTGAATTATATACATAATAAATAACTAGTGGAGGCTTGAGAAGGTTGCTATTTCCATCAATTAAGGACAATGTACATATCCCTCCCATCTCTAGGCCATGGAGGACTTTCTTTTGGGGACTACCAATTCCCAAAATTTTCGTTCAAGCCATTTCTATCCACATTTAGTTGCTTCTGCTGTAAAATGCCTGTCTCCCTCTGTGTTGCAGACCTGAACAATGCTGCACGGAGAACCTTCTCCATCCTGGGCCTGTTCTCTTCCCATGCTGCTGGCTCCCTCAGCATCTTCTTCGCCTCTGAGGTCATCCCCACTGTTATCAGGTCAGATATAAGAGATTTGGGGGGCTTTTGGGGGGGCTCATGGTCCTGGAATAGAAATGATAGAGAAGGATTGTAGTTTGAACACCTTTCCTATCAAGGTTATGTCTTACCTTCTGATCTATCCTTTCTTGCACAGCTTCTTTGATTGAAACTCCATTGCTGTTTGCCCTGTTCCGTGTTTTCATTATCGTCACACACTGGAACATGTATCAGCAAACTTCAGCCCTCCAGGTGTTTTGGACTTCAACTCCCACAATTCCTAACAGCCTACCGGCTGTTAGGAATTGTGGGAGTTGAAGTCCAAAACACCTGGAGGGCTGAAGTTTGCCCATGCCTGCCCTAGAAGAAGAGGGATTTTTAGTCTGTCAAGTCACACAGAGCTAGGCCTACAGTGATAAATGTTTTTTTAGTGTGGATTAGGCTTGTGCACAGATTCGGTTTGGTTGGTTACCTTTGGCCAATCCAGCTTGTTTGGTTTGTTCAGTTGGTCGAAAAGTAAGGATTCAGCCGAGATTTTTTTTTGGTTCAGTTGGCCGTAATGGTAAGGGCTCAGCCGCCACATTTTTTCATCCAGAACGGACCACATGGCAGCCGGTCACAGCTCCTCCTCTATTCGGCACCATGTAGCACACTAGGTGGCTGCTGCATGCTGCTCAAATGGGATTTCCATGTGAGCACTGCCTGTTGGGCCAATTAGGAATTGTGAGAGTTGAAGTCCAAAACACCTGGAGGGCCAAAGTTTGCCCATGCGTGGGATAAGGGAGGCTCAACTCATTGATCAGCTTATAATAGGACAGAATTCATCTGACCATCCAGATGTTTTGGAGCTGTCAACTCCCAACAGAGGTCTGGAATATGCTAATATTTCGAGATGGACATGATTCCACAGAATGAATAAAAGCCACTCTCTTCCGCAGGGGCAAAGGCTTGGGTGCCATTCTGGCTTTGGCTTCGCTGGGCGGTCTAAGTGCTCCAGTGCTCCGCTTGCGAGAGCAGCATGGCTCTTTCCTCGAACACATCGTGTTGGCCTCCCTCAACATCCTGGCTCTTCTCTGCCTGATGCTGCTTCCTGAGAGCAAACGCAAGGCTCTTCCGGAAGGCCTCCGGGATGGAGAACTCTACCGACGGCCATCCCTGCTCCGACGGACCGCGGGAAGCGAAGGACGAGACGCCGAAGGGGCGACCCGGAGGGATGACGTGCCCCTCCTCTCCACACCAAACCCCACAAGCTGATGCACCCCACCATGCCTGCATCGGGCCACCATGCACTCCTGTGTAGCAACGGGAGGTTCCACAGTCTCGGCCGAGCTTAGGTTGAGGGCTGCCTCCTGAACAAGGAAAAAGGACAAAGCCTCAGCAAATGTCTGTGTTGCTCCTGCTTCTCTATTTTCTGCTTGTGGCGTAACGTGAGGAGACGCCCAACTTCTTCTGCTTTAAGGTCTCAAGGAGTCCATGTCACCCCAGAAGCAGAAAACCAGAGCAGTGACAATTACACAACAGACCCAAACTTCCCTTAATTTGGACTAGATCTGGATTGGGACCATACATCTCAGGCCCGCTTTTACGAGGGGTGTTCATTAAATTTTTCCCCTGACCCACTTTCTGTGGACTGAGAGCAATGCAACTTGGCACAGCAATGAGTCCTTTTCTCCATCGGTGCCACCTTGGGACACACACTTCTCCCATCTTTTTAGGCAACTGTAAACATCTCACTTGAAGAAGTCAACAGGTTGCGCCAAAAGCCACGTTGTGACTTCAGAAATCAGAGTCTCATCATCATTGCCCTTCAAAAATAACTTCATTGTTGGAAAGAGGTGGAAGTCCGATGGTGCGAGGTTGGGTGAATAAGGGGGATGCGGTCGAATTTCAAAGCCACAGGAGCATGCTTCTTCCATTTGGGCAACAGGTGAGTTGCAGAAGGCGGACACCTTTGGTGAGCATGCCACGTTGCCTCTTGGTTTTGATGGCCTCCAACAATTTCTGCAGCAGTGAAGCATAGTATGCCCCAGTGATCATGGTACCCTTTGCTAGGAAATCCATCAATATTACTCCGTGCTGGTCCCAAAATACTGTGAGCATGACCTAGCCTGCCGAGAGTTGGGCACGTGCCTTCTTTGGAGGCGGTGAGTCATGATGCTTCCATTGCATTGACTGGACTTTAGTCTCAGGATCATAGCGATGGACCCAGCTTTCAGTCTGTTGAAAAGGTTTCCATGTCACATCATTGTCAATAGAGCCTGAGAGCATTTGACTTGTTCCTGCTTCTGGAAAGGTGTGAGCAGCCAGGGGACCCAACGAGCAGATACCTTATGCATGTGAAGATGGTCTTGGGTGATTTTTGCCATGGACCACACACTCAACTTACATTTTGGGCTAGGTGGCAAATAGTTACACGGCGATTTTCCAAAACTGCAACTTCCACTTGCTGAATGGTGCATTCAGTAGCAGGGTGGGGTCACCCTGGAATTGGAGCTGTTTGCACCGAAGTCCGACCACATTGGAATTGACGATGCCAGTTCTTGACTACAACATATGACGGGGAATCATCACCATCAACCTCTTTCATCTCATCGAACGTCTTCTTTGGTGTGCGGCCTTTCAAGTAAAGGAACTTGAGGACAGCTTTGTATTCCACTGGGTCCATTCTCAAACCTCACATCACTTCCTCACCTGTAACATCAAAACCCTTATCAGTTCTGAATTGTAAATTGGCACGTAACCTATAGAGGCTTCAATCATTACACATGTGCAGTTTCAGCATCCTGTGATAAATAGAAGTGGGTCAGGGGAAATCTTTAATGAACATCCCTCATAAAAATGAAAGGCTGGAATAGCCTGAAAATGGCTCACTTGTGCAATGAAGTCTCAAGTCACCTTTCCCCTGCCGGGTGCCCTTCAGATGCATGGGGAGAACCCGGTTGAAGAAAGCAGTCTTGGATAAACTATTTATAATTCCTGCATAGTTCTCTAGTCACTTCCCGATAGCTTTATTACAAACAGAAATTGAAAAGTAAATGTCAGAGAGGGAAGCTTTATGTGCTGGATGTCCACCTGGCAGTGAAATGCCAAGGGATAGGAACCATGACAGGTGAGAAAGTGTTCGAGTTTTTGATTCAATCCCTGTCAATTCTAGACGTTCTCGGTTGTTAGGCCCATTCCTCAGCTTTTTGGGATCCCAGTTTTATCAGATTCTTTTCTAATCCCTTCCTATGTAAATGGCTCGTTCCACCCTTTGGGGAGACACAGCCTGCCCTAATCCATATAACTGACACTAGATGACCACCCCTTTGAATCACTTTGTAGCATTGCACCCATTTTACAGATTTTAATAACAGAGGTCAAGCAGTACATTTTAAAATCCTTAAGTATTTGAATAAGGGAAAAGGTCAAAGCTTTCAATCTATGCACCCCATGACGACTTGCTCATCATCATCATTTTGATAAACCTGTCTAGAAAGGGCTCTTAATGTCTTTTCTTTTTTGCCAATAGAACCAAGGGCATTTGAACTCTTTTTAATCACTTTAGTTAGTTTCCCTCCAAATAATGCCTGGAGACTCAGTTCTTCCCTGTGGGCATCGGGAAATATATATATTTATCGGTTTGCTGCTCATATGCCCACAGCTCAAATAAGATGCCAGTTGATTCCATTGTTCTGCCACAGAGTTATAAATGCCAGAAATTCACAATGGCTATATATTTCCCCAATTCTTTTAATTTCTCCCCTCTTTATAGTCAAAGGCACACAGCTCCTGTTGGCAGCAGTCTTTTAAGGGCATTGATCAGTCTTCACTTGCTCAACACAGATGTGAATACGCAGTGTTAACCCACACGTAACCTCCCATCAAGTATGACTGGTAATTCAACTCATTTATGCCAAACATGAATGCAGATTGGCATCCCTGGTGGGAAGATGTTGGCGATACAAAGGGAAAATCAAGGTGGCCGTGCTATGACAAGACTTCCTCCCAAGATGTTTCAGAATGCAACCCCACCTACGAGATTTGGAAAGGTGTTTTGGCTGCTTTTTAATCCTAAAGGGAAATATAAACTACTGACTGTTAATAAGCTAAATACAGATTAAAGAGGATTCTTGAGAACTCTTTGGTACGTTCCAGAACATTTTAGTCTTGGTGTTTTTATCCGTCTTTTATCTTGTGTCTTTTGTTTCCCACATTCAACACAGCTCCACTGTTGTCACAAAGCTAGTCATTCAAAAACACTGCTTAGTAATCTTTCAAAGAGCCTCTATCTATCTATCTATCTATCTATCTATCTATCTATCTATCTATCTATCTATCTTATCCCCAAAAACCAGTGGACGAACTGACACGAAATTTGGACACAAAACACCTATCAGGCCAACAAGTGACCATCACTCATAAAAACACTGAAAAACACAGCAGAAGGGACTTAAAAATAAAAAAAACCAAAAATACATTACAATGCATGTGCAAAACCACATATATATATGCAAACACACACACATATACACAAATATATACACACACAAAACACATATACAGTCTGAGCCACAGCAATGTGTGACGGGATGGCTAGTGTGTGTGTGTGTGTAAATATGTGTGTATATATGTGTGTGTGTGTCATGAGTGACTTGAGAAACTGCAAGTTGCTTCCGGTGTGAGAGAATTGGCCGTCTGCAAGGACGTTGCCCAGAGGACGCCTGGATGTTTTGATGCGTTACCATCCTTGTGGGTGGCTTCTCATGTCCCCACATGAGGAGCTGGAGCTGATAGAGGGAGCTTATCCGTGCTCTCCTCAGATTCGAACCTGTCAGTCTTCAATCCTGCCAGCACAGGGGTTTAACCCACTGCACCACCGGGGGCTCCTAAGAGCCTATATGGGGCTAATTGGGGCTGCTGTTATGGTTTATTGTGCTTACGAGAAGGCTGGTAAAATGCAACTTGCTGGACCCATCACGGGGCATCCTCCAAAGTAGAAAAGTTTCTCTTTCAGTTCCATTGTCAACCCTTTTTGTCTAATCTCGTCCTCTGACTCCAACTCATTTTGTGCCCTTTCCAGCAGTTAGACTATGAATTTCCCCTTTCAGATCCCAGAGCAGAAGCAAATGTTTGTTTCAACACATGCAGATTGGGTTTGCATTGTCTTAAATCTCTAGATTTTTTTATCTCAAAATGTGCGCTCAGAGGGCCAGCATGGAGTGATTTATTTATTTATGGTGCCAAAAGCAAATTGAGGGTACAGTTAAAATGTATTAAAAACACAAGGTTAAAAACTTGGCATTATACTAAATGTCCTTTGACCAGAGACCTGGCTACTTGGGAGTGTCTGTGCGCATTCAGAAGATCTACAAGCCACTCAGTGTTGACTTTGGTGGAGAGGTGGCTGCCAAGGTACCGGAAATGGTCAACATTTTCTAATGTTGCACCATTAAGCTGTATCTCTGGCATTGGAGAGGGATTGGCTGATGACCGCTGGAACAGCACTTTGGTTTTCTCGATGTTCAATGACAGGCCGAGCTTCTCGTATGCTTCTGCAAAGGTGTTTAGAGTGGCTTGTAGATCTTCTGAATGCACACAGACTGACATCAGCACACTGGAGTTCTATAACAGATGTTGTTGTAACCTTGGTTTTGGCTTTCAGTCTGCTGAGGTTGAATAGCTTGCCATCTGTCCGATAGATGATTTCCACTCCGGTGGGAATTTTATTTATCGTGTCAGGCAACCGAACAGTTATATTACATTTTTGACAGAACAACCAAACATACATACAAGAGACACAGAGTTTGCAAGCTTGGTAGTTGATTAAATGTCCTTTGACCAGTATCTGTCCACTTGGAGTGCCTCTGGTGTTGCCGCAAGAAGGTCCTCCATTGTGCATGCAGCAGGGCTCAGGTTGCATTGCAGCAGGTGGTCAGTGGTTTGCTCTTCTCCACACTCACATGTCGTGGATTCCACTTTGTAACCCCATTTCATAAGGTTGGCTCTGCATCTTGTGGTGCCAGAGTGCAGTCTGTTCAGCGCCTTCCAAGTCGCCCAGTCTTCTGTGTGCCCGGGGGGGGGGGGGGGGGGGGGGGGGGGGTCTTTAGTTTGGTATCAGCCATTGATTGAGGTTCTGGGTTTGAGTCTGCCACTTTTGGACTCTTGCTTGCTGGGGTGTTCCAGCAAGTGTCTCTGTAGATCTTAAAAAACTATTTCTTGATTTAAGTTGTTGATACCCAAACAAAGGATGAGCTGGAGATGTCACTGCCTTGGTCCTTTCACTATTGACTGCTACTTCCCAGCAGATGTCAGGTGGTGCAATACCAACTAAGCAGTGTAATTTCTCCAGTGGTGTAGGGCGCAGACACCCCGTGATAATGCGGCATGTCTCATTAAGAGCCACATCCACTGTTTTAGTGGTGAGATGTGTTCCACACTGGGCATGCATACTCAGCAGCAGAGTACGCATGTCCGGTGGGAAGCTTCCCATCAACAAGGTGAAGTATCATAGCGATGAAGATGGAGAGTAAAGTTGGGGCAATAACACATCCCTGTTTGACACCTGATTCCACCTTAAATGGGTCACTTTGGGAGCCACTGCTGTCCAAGACAATTGCCATCATGTAACTGCAATAATCGCATGGGAATGCATACAAAACCAAGGAAGGACTTGCCTCTAAAAATCCTGATTCAGACATAGAACCAAATGCCTGGGAACAAAAAATCACGTAAGCTCATTTTTTTTCCAAAAAACATCTTTATTTTTTCCACCCTCATAACATTTTATTCTATTTTTTTTCTCTACCCTCCCCCTCCCTGGGCCCGACCTGAACCTTTCCTCCCTCTGCTTTTTTTTCCCTTCTTTTTTTTTTAAAAGGCATTCTCCCACACGGGAAAACCACCTTCAATTCCTCCCGGCACCCTCCAACCAGAGCCCGCCCGTCCCCAAGGGAGTCCTCTCCCTTTCCCCAGGCCGCTACAGCTTCGGGTTTCGGTGATATTTCTTCGGGCTAAAAAATAAAGGAACCTGTAAAGATAAAGACACTCAAACAAGGCTTATAACATACCCCTTGGGGGCTGGGAAGAGGGGTGAGGGGTCGGCAAGGGATATAGAGACAGCAGAGGGGAGGCAAAGGGAACGGTCAGCGGAGAACCCTGGAGAGGAGTGGTGACTTTTGAAGGGAAAACATCCCAACCTGTTGCTAGGACTAAGGTCAGACTGAGCATGGGGCATTGGGGTGGAAGGCAAGGAGAAAAACCCAGGGAGGAGCTCCTGTCTTAATTTGCACCCAGAACAGGAGGCCGCAAGACTGGAGTCTGCCAAAATGGAAAATAAAAAGACAAGAAAAAGCAGATGGCGTTAATGTCTCGACTCGGGCGGTGGCAGCGCTGCGGCGGCCAAGAACCCAGTCTCCCTCCCCTATTTAGCCCTGGGTGGGGAAGGCAACGGGAGACAGAGGTAACCAAGCACACAGACACACATACAGACAGACACACAAGCGCATACATATAAAAATGGCCACGGGTGCAGACAAAAAAGCCAAAAGAACCACAAACACACAGAAAAAAAAACAAGAAAAGGGAGAGGGGTTGGCAACCCTCCCACCCACCCACTGCCCCCTCCCTCCCTCCCTCCCCAAATGCACAGGGCCAGAGTAAAAAAAGGGGAAGAATGGCTCATTTGGCCCAAACAATCTCCACAGAGGGGAAGGGGTGGTGGGCAGAGAGGGCAGCAGGGCATCAATCGGCAATACTTGCAGGTGGAGACTCAACAACAGAATGGCCCTCCGCGTTTTGTGCCTGCCTCCCACAACCCTCCAAATACGCCAGCCCTCTTTCTCTGCACAACATTAGATACATTCTCCTCCCACCAACAGTATATATATTTTTTCCATCATGGTAACAATCTTCATTTTTTTTTCTCTTTTTTTTTTCCTCTTTCCTAAAACCACCACTTTTTTTTTTTTAGTAAGGGGAATACCATGAGGTCGCTCTGGCCCGGCCCCTGTGAAGAGAAGAAGGAGACGGGGTTAATGAAAGCCGAGACAAAGAACACCTATATCACCCCAAAGCTAAAGGGGAGAGTCCTTTGGCTGTGAAAAATCTCAGGCCGGAGTCCTAGGATTTCAAAATCCAAAATCCCTGGAAAGTGAAAGCCAGGACATGTTTGTAAAAGTTCTATACAGGAACCATGGATCGGGCTGTGGCGCAGCTAGTTAGTAGCCAGCTGCATTAAATCACTACTGACCAAGAGGTCATGAGTTCAAAGCCAACCCAAGTCAGAGTGAGCCCATGACCATTCATAGTCTAGCTTGCTATTGACCTATGCAGCCCGAAAAGCAGTTGCATCTGTCGAGTAGGAAATTTAGGTACCGCTTTATGCAAGGAGGCTAATTTAACTAATTTACAACACCATAAAACCTTCCCCAGCAGTGTGCGTAAGAAGGAGGAGGTATTCCATCAAGGACTTGGTATCACAAGTGGATGGTGAAGAGACAGCTCCCCCTATGGCCAGAATCGAGCATGCCCTCATGAAGCTGGAAAGCCTGAATGTTAAATAACCTCTGTGTATGTCTAATGGCATTTAATTCTTGCCATGTATATGTGCATTGTAATCCACCCTTAGTCCTCTGCGGGGTAAGAAGGGCAGAATATAAATACTGCAAATAATAATAATAATAATAATAATAATTTTCCAAAGTTGCTGAGGTTTAAGGTAAAGGTTTCCCCTTGATATTAAGTCCAGTTGTGTCCAACTCTGGGAGATGGTGCTCTTCTCCATTTCTAAGCTGAAGAGCTGGCGTTATCCGTAGGCACCTCCAAGGTCATGTGGACAACATGACTATATGGAGCACCATGAACTTCCCACCAAAGCGGTACCTATTGATCTACTCACATTTGCATGTTGTCAAATTGCTAGGTTGTCAGAAGCTGGGGCTAACAGCAGGACCTCATCCCACTCCCTGGATTCAAACTGCCAACCTTTTGGTCAGCAAGTTTAACCCACTGCGCCACTGGGGGCTCCTTTAAAGTTTAGTTCAAAGATATGTCAACGAGTACTGGTAAATGGATCACAGTACTTCACATGGCTTTATGTGTCAGAAAACAATTCTCTGTAATTCCGTTTAGCAATACTGTTTATTTTATCCTGGAATCTACCAATTTCTCTCACAACATTTGCCCCCAACCCAGGCAACCAGTCTGAAGCCTATACTTCCAAGTACAAAGCACTACCCCCTCCCCACCAACACCATGAGGCCAGACCTGTAAGCTCGCCCTCTGGGCGGCCTGCTGCTGAAGCCGCTGTAGAAACGGGCCCGGGAGCTGCTGTATCCGGATCCTCTCCCTCGGTACCGGGTCCGGGGGAACCCCCGGTCTGTAGTGCTGATTCCAGGGCGGTTGGTCCGTTTAGGAATCACCTTCAGACACAGGATGAGATATCCTTGCAGGTGAGCTCAGAGAAATACAGCTTGTTTAAAGATCCTAGAAATCATTAGGAGACCATCACGAGCAAGTCTACGCTCCAAAAGGGACAAAATGGCACCCAGGAAACACGACAAACTAGGATACCACTCTCATCACAGCCATCTGTTGCTGGTAGACAGCAGAAGAGATCAGAGGCGTATTTATTGAGAATGAAGGGGCCCAGCTAAAGAAATACAGTGTTCCCTTGCTACTTCGCAGTTCGCTTTTCACAAACTCACTGTTTTTTGGGGGGGGGGGTTTGGGGGGGGGTGCCTCCCAGTTTATGAATGGTTGCCTCCACTTTAGAAAGTGGAGGCAACCATTCATAAAGCCATTCCGCTTTTGGAGATAAATAATCTCATATTGCTGTTATCCCTCAATATCCGTTTTCAGTATATATCCCTTCTCCTTCTGTATGAAGGCTCCTTTCGACCCCACTACAGAAGAGTTTCTTCCTCACAAATAACCCACTCCATTGTTGTTTTGCCCCGTGTTTTTAGCCATATTTTAGCCTTAATATTTTATTCTGTACATGCAGCCTGCTCACTGTTCTATGGTATAATTTTATTTTGTTTTTTGTGTTATTTTATGTTTTATGTAATTTATCATGTTGTTACCTGTGTTATGATTTTATTTATTGTACTGCGTTGTTGGGCTTGGCCTCATGTAAGCTGCCCTGAGTCCCCATTGGGGAGATGGTGGCGGGGTATAAATAAAGTTTACTATTATTATTATTGCATTTATTTATTTATTTATTTATTTATTTTGCTTATATGCCGCTGTTCTCAGCCCGGGGGCGACTCACAGCGGTGTACAACATAGAAAGGACAAGGTTCAAAATTCAAGACACAGTCTAAAATATCAATCTAGCAATAACCAAAAACATCAACAATATCAATAATACAAAAAGCCACTCGCGTCGTCTCATCGTTTAAGCCACAATCCAGTATCATTTTCCGATGTTCCATTCCTGTCGTCATTACCAATTATTGAACTTGTTGCCATTGCCCAGAGCCGCATTCTATTCCCACCCTCTGACAATGATGGAATGTCAAAGGAGAGTTCACCCTCCCCCTCATGAAAGAGGCAGCCAATCAAGAGAAATTGCAAAGCAAAGCAGAATTCAAACTACAAGAGAGGAGATTCCATCTGAAAATGAGGAAGAACTTCCTGACTGTGAGAGCCGTTCAGCAGTGGAACTCTCTGCCCCGGAGCGTGGTGGAGACTCCTCCTTTGGAAGCTTTTAAACAGAGGCTGGATGGCCATCTGTCAGGGGTGCTTTGAATGCAATATTCCTGCTTCTTGGCAGGGGGTTGGACTGGATGGCCCATGAGGTCTCTTCCAACTCTGATTCTATGATTCTATGAAATATCTTGCAAAAAAATGTGCGCGGTTCCTTTAAATCTCTCCTCCCTTCTGCCTCACCCTCGGAATGCGAGATATAGATAAGATAGATAGATAGATAGATAGATAGATAGATAGATAGATAGATAGATAGATAGCATCCCTACCTTTGCGGGTTGTCCTGGAACGTAACACCCACGATAAATGAGGGAACACTGTATATGCATTCATCTTCTGAGATCTCGAAAGCAGTGGCTCTCAACCTGTGGGTCCCCAGATGTTTTGGCCTACAACTTGCAGAAATGCTGGCCAGTTTACCAACTGTTAAGAGTTGAAGGTCAAAACATCCGGGGACCCACAGGTTGGGAACCACTGATCTATAGGACTGCAGCAAAATATTATTTATTATTTATTGATTCACTGCATTTATACACCACTTTTCTCACCCTTGGGGGACTGAAATTCAATGCTGTACGTACTTGTGAAAACCAAAACATAATTTGTACACAAAGACATATAACTATAAATTAAGAATCTTAACCATATTGAAACAACATTTGGACTTTAAAACACAGAATTGCAACATCAACAATACAGTAACATTCATATTAAAATCAACACATTAAAACAACACAATTTTAAAACATTATTAAAATATGTCATTGCTTCTCAAAATCCCCTGATCTCTACCAAAAGAAGTTGGAATCTCAGAATCATAAGAGTTGAAAGAGATCACAAGGGCCATCCAGGACTGCTTTAAAATCTCCAGATACTACACTGGACTCCAAGACACCATATTCCACTGCCTAACAGCTCTTACCATCAGGAAGTTCTTCCTAATCCCTTTACCTGCCATTTGAATCCAATTTGAATCCATTACTCCATTGTGTCCTAGTTTCTGGAGCAGCAGAAAGCCAGCTGGCTCTCCCCTCAATGCAACATCCTTACAGATATTAAAACACAGCTCTCATGTCATCAGACGACTTGAGAACCTCCTTATGCTACGCTCAACCATGTGGGATCTCTTGCAGTATCTGTTGCTGAGGGCCAAACCCCACAAATTCTTACATCTGTGTCGTCATCCTTACTCTTGCTATTCCTACATTGGACTGCAGTTTTCTACATAGAGTCTCGTTTATCCAACATAAACAGACCAGCAGAATGTTGGATAATAAGGAGGAATTGAGGAAAAGCATATTAAACGTCAAATTACATTCTGATTTTACAAATTAAGCACCAAAACATCATGTTTTACAACAGATCGACAGAAAAAGCAGTTCAATACACGGTAACATTATGTAGTAATTACTGTATTTATGAATTTAGAACCCAAACATCACAATGTATTGAAACAACTGTGGATCCAGACAGGAGGCAGACTGTGTTGGATAATACAGAACGTTGAATGCGAAAAGGTTGGATAAGCGAGACTCTACTGTAACCAGCTATGTATATAAATGGCAAGCACACAAGAGACAGTTCTGTCCACCGAGGAACTGAAAATCTAAATCTAAATTTCAAACAACCAATGAGAGCAAGGACTGGAAGAAGAAGTGATAGTGATGTGTGTCATTAAACTACACAAACCCCACCTATGACAAGTGATGGAATACATGACCAATGGTCTGCAAGGAAAAAAAGTTCTGAGAGATACTGTTCGCACCTTGATCTGTCTTCCCCTGAAGAGGGACTCATCTAACGCTAACGATGTCCGCACCGACTCCTTGTCAGAAAACTCAATATAGGCAAACCTGCAAAAAAAAGGTGGGGGGCAGTGATTAAGAAACAAAAGGGACTGGTGCTTGTATGCATAATTATTGCAATTTACTGGATTTTATCAAGTTTTGCCTTGCACTTATGTTTGTCACCCCAAGAGATAGGGTGAATCACAAGTTGGGTAGAGTAAAAGGTAAAGGTTGTCCCCTGACATTAAGTCCAGTCATTTCTGACTCTGGGGTGTGGTGCTCATCTCCATTTCTAAGCCGAAGAGCTGGTGTTGTCCATAGACACCTCCAAGGTCATGCGGCCGGCATGACTGCATGGAGCGCCGTTACCTTCCCGCCGGAGCGGTATAGACTATGCAATGTGCTTTATGTGGGTATATGAAGTTAATTAATTACCTTTGGAAAAAAATACAGTGCCCTGGCAGCAGCTTCGATTCACACTCACCCCTTGGGATGCCCAGTATACTTGTCGCAGAGGATGGTCACACGGTTGACAGAGCCACACCCATGGAAGTGGGCCTCCAGCTCTTCTGCTGTTGCCCCATAATCCACCTGAAAATGGGAGGGTGCACAAGACGAGGTTGTTAAGAGGCTCCTTTTGCCCACTTCTTAAAAACTGGGATGTGGGAGACACTTACGTTGCCTACATATATAGACCGGGCATCAGCTTCCATCTTTTCTTCTAAAGACATGATGACTGGGCCCGCTGGAAAGAAAGGGGAGCATTAGTTGAATGTATTTTTAATTCTGTTAATTGTATATTGTTAGGCATCTAATTGCCTGGTTGTAAGCCACCTTGAGTTACCTTCGGGTTTGAAAAAGGCAGGATAGAAATATTGTAAATAAATAAATAAATAAACAATCTGCCCTGAGTCTTCTGGGGAATATAAATAAAATATATTATTATTATTATTATTATTATTATTATTATTAGAAACACAACAAGGTGAATCCACAGCAGACACTCTGCTGGCTGTTGTATTGGATCACAAGTGTCTAGGACTGTGTGATGTATTGGCAAATAACGTCTGCAGCCGGCAGATGGTAAGATTATTATTATTATTATTATTATTATTATTATTAACTTTATTTGTACCCTGCTAGCATCTCCCGAAGGACTCGATGCGGCTTACAAAGGCCAAGGCCTCAATACACAACATAACAATACAAACCTAAAGCAAATTAAAAACAATTAAAGCAATATTAAAACAACAAAACAACAAGCAACAAACAATACACCAAAACACAATAAAACTGGGCCGGACCAGAATAAAGGGTACAGGATTAAAAGTGCTGATGTGACAGGTGATATGTAAGGATTATAAGGTAAGTGCAGTGTGCAGCAATCTTAGTTCTAATAAAGTGCTTCTGGGACTTGGTACTGGAGATTTCCTATTCTGGGAAGGCACATCGGAACAGCCAGTACTTCAAGTTCTTTCTGAAGACTGCCAATGTAGGGGCCTGTCTAAGATCTTTGGGGAGGGTGTTCCAGAATCGGAGGGCCACCACAGAAAAGGCCCTGTCTCGTGTCCCCACCAAGCGCGCTTGCGACGCAGGCGGGATCACGAGCAGGGCCTCTCCAGATGAACGAAATGAACGCGTGGGTTCTTAGACGGAGATGCGGTTCTGCAGCTGGCCTTCTGCAGCTGGCAGGTGGTAATCTTGTCAGCGGCCAAGGTCTTTAGGCACTGCACCCAGTGTGCCAATCACCATTGGGACCACCTTGACTGGCTTGTGCCAGAGTCTTTGCAGTTTGATCTTTAAATTCTCATATCGTGTCAGCTTTTCCAGTTGCTTCTCTATTTATTATTATTATTATTATTATTATTATTATTATTATTATTATTAAGAGATCCAAACCAAACACAATTTCTTATATCACTATAATCTATAATGTTTTGTCAACTGCTCTCAAGAGCCTTGTACAAGGACTTAACTCATTAGAGATAACTGTTGTGGTTCAGCCAGTTGATGAAGAGGAGGGGTTTGGGGGTGCAGGGCCTGATGGTTCTGCGGGTGCCCAGACAGAGCGGGTTTTAGAGCAAGATGGTTCTCCAGCTGAAAGAATGGAGGGGGTTTTGGAGATGTGGCTGAGTCCAAATGTGAGAATGAAACTGATTTGGAAGCCAACAGGCAGGGAGGAAAGGATAACATTAGCTCATCCGAAAAAGCAGCTGATTTAGACAAAGATACCAGGCTGCTTTCTGAGGGGGCAGAAATTCAGGTGCGAGAAAAGCCATGGGAAACAGAGGCAGAAACAGGCCTCTCAAGGTCAAAGCAATGTGTTCATATTTTGCAGCCCTTAAAATAGGGAGAGCTGTTAGGAGTTTAGATCAAAGAGGCATCGCTACTGGAGTGAGAAACTCCTGTCTTATTCCTGGTTTGTGCTTTAGCTCAAGATCCAAGATTCCTGGTCAAATTTTGCTTCTGACTTTATGGATTTTTCCTATGGATCCACGTTCTTGTTTTGTTCCTTGTTTTCTGAATTAATGTTCATGTTTTAACTCTTGTTTTTTGAATTTACCTTTGGGACTTTCTTTATTAACACTTGGATTTTTACCCTATTATTCGCTTAAGGTGCCGTTGGCCCTTTCTTATGTGTTTTATCAATAAACTGTTTATTACCACGTCTGGTTTCCTGGTGAATGCTGTGAGCAAGGTGAACTCCTGCTGATGTGCAACAATAACTCATGTCCAGAAAACAATCCACAGACTTGACAGGCCAGAGAAAGGTTGGCACATTTTGCCACACATTTATTATGAGAAATGGGAGTGATCACATTCAGAGCTTGAGAACCTTATTTTCTTGTAAAACTACATCTCCTGTGATCCCCAAGCCAAGAGAAGAGGCTTTCCATACAAAGGTTCCAGGTTCATCTCCAAGCAGAGCTGAAAAATACTTCCACCTGGAGCTCAGAAAGTCTATTTCAAGTTCTTACAAAGTGCCTGAATAGGACAACACATACTTGTGTGTTACTCTAGTAGTTAAGCCAAAACGTTCATTCTTTGAGACGTTTCTCCATTACCTCCTTCAAGTTTCACTTTTACACTGAAATCAAAATACTTCCGTTTCCCAGAATCCACCTGACGACTTAACAAATTCAACTTAAGAACAACTACACAACCTATCTTGTTTGTAACTTGGGGATTGCCTCTCTCTCTAGATATATATGTGTGTGTATCTAAATAATTTATTGTATTTTATGTTTTTGAACAAATAAAATATTTATTACTAGCCGTCCCCTGCCACGCATTGCTGTGGCCCACATGGGGGTTCTGTGTGGAAGGTTTGGCCCAATTCTCTCATGGGTGGGGTTCAGAATGCTCTGTGATTGTAGGTGAACTATAAATCCCAGCAACTACAACTCCCAAATGTCAAGATTCTATTTTCTCCAAACTCCACCAGTGTTCACTTTTGGGCATATTGAGTATTCGTGTAGAGTTTGGTCCAAATCCATCACTGTTTGAGTCCACAGTGCTCTCTGGATGTAGGTGAACTACAACTCCAAAACTCAAGGTCAATGCCCACCAAACCCTCCCAGTATTTCCTGTTGGTCATGGGAATTCTGTGTGCCAAGTTTGGTCCAGATCCATCACTGTTTGAGTCCACAGTGCTCTCTGGATGGAGATGCACTACAACTCCAAAACCAAAGCACATTCCCCACCAAACCCTTCCAGTATTTACTGTTGGTCATGGGAGTTCTGTGTGTCAAGTTTGGTTCAATTCCATCGTTGGTGGGGTTCAGAATGCTCTTCGATTGTAGGTGAACTATAAATCTCAGCAATGACAACTCCCAAATGACAAAATCAATTTTTTTGAGTGAAGGACATACATTGGGTTGTTAGGTGTCTTGTATCCAAATTTGGTGTCAATTCGTCCAATGGTTTTTGAGTTCTGTTAATCCCACAAACGAGCATTACATTTTTATTTATATAGATTATTATTATATTTACAAAGATGCCCTCCACAGAAGAATTCAACCGGTTTCACATATGTCAACACCCTTCTCTTTCCCTGCTGTGAAGACCTACTATCTATACACGAAACCTAGAGTGAGAGAGTAAGACACGGAAGGAAGGCATGGATGCTCACCATTCCCAGGTGGGGGGCTCATATTCATTTGTTTCTCAACTTCATTCTGCAACTCTTTCAACTTCTCCGCTTCTTCTTCCATTTCACGTACTCGAGCTTTAATGGCTTCCAACTCCTGGGATAAGAACAAGTGGGCAGGGAAATGCAGAGGAAGCTGTTAGAAAGTATTCCAGTAGCCCTGAGAGCTTTCTCCCATTCAAACCTTTCTTTTCCACTGCTTGATTTTCAGGAAAGAGTTGAAAACCTGGCTTTTTATACTAATGTACCATTTATATTATATGTTGCACCTTGGAGAGCCTTGTAAGCCGCCCCAACTCTTTGGGGAGATGGTAGCAGGATGTAAATAAAGTTGTTTACATGTCAAAACATATCTCCCCCTATGAACCACCTCAGAGATTAAGATCGTCTGGGGAGGCCCTGCTCTTGGTCTCGCCTTCCACGCAAGCGAAACTGGTGGGAGCGAGAGACAGGGCCTTCTCAGTGGTGACGTTAGACCTGTTTCCTTCCTTATAGATTTCAGAAGGAAAGTAAAAGCTTGGCCTTGGGATCAGGCTTTCATAGAATAGTGCAGTGCAATAACAGATTTGGAATGTGGGCAATGACTATGGAACAGCTACGATTATGGGTGGCATGATTTTAATTTTGAATGTAATGTTTTCAAATGCTTAATATATATTAATTTTGATTTAATTTAAAGTTACTGGAGTTGTATGTGTTTTAATACATTGAATAATTGCCTATGTGTAAGCCATTCTGAGTACCCTTTGAGGTAGAAAAGGGTAGGGTATAAATAGGGTAAATAAAAAAATGTTGTTCATTGTATCCTTGTCTGCTTTTGTAGTGAGGCATTGAATGTTTGCCTCTATGTGTTTTTTATTGTGCTGTAATCCACCCTGAGTCCTCTGGGGCAGATAGGGTGCAATATAAATAGAATTGTATTATCATCATCATCATCTCTGGACATAATTATGCTTTGTGTGATTTTTGGCTTGTATTTTATGTTACATGTGCTTTGATTTGTATTGTATTATGTTGTGAGCTGTTTTGTGTCCCATTAGGGAGAAAATCAGGCTATAAAGATATATTACTATTATTGCTATTATTATAATAATTGTGAGCTGCTTTGGGTCCAGTTAGGAAGAAAAGCAGGCTATAAAGATTTATTATTATTATTATTATTATTATTATTAGCCACTTTGGGTCCTGTTAGGGAGAAAAACAAGATATAAATAAAGATATATGATTACTATTATTATTATGAGCCACTTTGGTCCCGTTAGGGAGAAAAATAGGATATAAATAAAGATATATTATTACTGTTGCTATTACTATTATTGTGAGCTGCTCTGGGTCCTGTTAGGAAGAAAACAGGATATAAATAAAGGTTTATTTTATTATTATTACTAAAAACACAACAAGCTTAGTACACAGCAAACAGGATCTCTCTGCTGGCTGTTATATTATTATTATTGTGAGCTGCTTTGGGTCCCGTTAGGGAGGAAATCAGGTTATAACTAAAGATTTATTTATTTTTTAAAAATATTTTTATTACTTTATCATAATTATTACATTTATTATACATTTGTTTATAGCAGTTACATATTATTCAACACCTTCTTTAACATTTAATCTTATTCTTCTGCATAAGCATTTTATTCCCCCCCTTTTTTTCCCCCACCACTGTGCTCCCCTCCCCTTCCCATTTATTATTGTTATTATTATTATTATTATTATTATTATGAGCTGCTTTATTTATTTACTTTATTTATTTACTTTGCTTATATACCGCTGTATCTCAAGCCCGAAGGCGACTCACAGCGGTTCAGCTTTGGGTCCCATTAAGGAGAAAAACAGGATATAAAAATATTTTATCATCATCATCATTATATGAAACACAACAAGCTTAGTACACAGCAAACAAGGTCATTCTGCTGGCTGTTGCATTATTATTGTTGTTGTTATGAGCTGCTTTGGCTCCCGTTAGGGAGAAAATCAGGATATAAATAAAGATTTATTATTATTATTACTATTACTATTATTATTATGAGCCACTTTGGGTCCTGTTAGGGAGAAAATCAGGATATAAATAAAGATTATTATTATTGTTATTATTATGAGCTGCTTTGGATCCTGTTAGGGAGAAAATCAGGATATAAATAAAGATTATTATTATTGTTGTTATTATTATTATTGCGAGCCACTTTGGATCCCGTTAGGGAGAAAACCAGGATATAAATATTTATTATTATTATTACTATTATTACTACTATTATTATTGTGAGCCATTTTGGGTCGTGTTAGAGAGAAAATCAGGATATAAAGATTTATTATTATTATTATTGTTATTACTATTATTGCGAGCCACTATGGATCCCGTTAGGGAGAAAATCAGAATATAAATATTATTATTATTATTACTATTATTGTGTGCCGTTTTGGGTCCTGTTAGGGAGAAAAGCAGGATATAAATAAAGATTTATTATTATTATTACTATTATTATTATTATTATTATTATTATTATTATTATTATAAGCTGCTTTGGGTCCTGTTAGGGAGAAAATCAGGATATAAATAAAGATTATTATTGTTATTATTATTATTGTGAGCCACTTTCGATCCCGTTAGGGAGAAAATCAGGATATAAATAAAGATTTATTATTATTATTACTATTATTATTATTATGAGCCGTTTTGGGTCCTTTTAGGGAGAAAATCAGGTTATAAATAAAGATTCATTGTTGTTGTTGTTGTGAGCCGCTTTGGGTCCTGATAGGGAGAAAATCAGGAAATAATTGTTATTGTTTGTTGTGAGCTGCTTTGGGTCCCGTTAGCGAGAAAATCAGGATATAAATAAAGATTATTATTGTTATTATTATTATTGTGAGCCACTTTGGTTTCCGTTAGGGAGAAAATCAGGATATAAATAAACATTTATTATTATTATTATTATTATTATTACTATTATTATTATTGTAAGCCGCTTTGGGTCCTGTTAGGGAGAAAATCAGGATATAAATAAAGATTATTATTGTTGTTATTATTATTATGATTATTGCGAGCCACTTTGGATTCCGTTAGGGAGAAAATCAGGGTATAAGATTTATTATTGTTATTATTATTATTATTATTGTGAGCAGTTTTGGGTCCTGTTAGGGAGAAAATCAGGATATAAACAAAGATTTGTTGTTGTTGTGAGCCGCTTTGGGTCCCGTTAGGGAGAAATGCAGGATATAAATAAAGGTGTTGTTAATATTATTATTATTATTATTATTATTATTATTATTATTATTATTATTACTATTATTATTATTATTATTACTATGGGCCTGAGGAGGTAGGCTTGAACGGGGCCTTGGCTCCCCTCTTCGGGGCCTCACCGGGTCTTCGATGGCGGAGTCCCCGGCGTCGCTCTCCCCGAGGCCGGCCTCCTCCTCCAGCTCCTCAGCGGCGTGCGGGAGATGGGCCCCGGCCTGCCCGGCTCGGGAAGGCAGCGAGGCGGAGAGGGCTCCGCGGGGCCCGGTGCCCCTTCCTCCTCCTCCTCCGGCTCCTCCTGGTCCTCCTGCCGCTCCCCCGGCTCCTGCTCCTCCTCCGGCCTCGAGCAGCAGCTCCTCGTCCTCGTCCTCGTCGTCGTCCTCGACCTGGCGGCGCCCCCTGCCCGCCTCCCCGCCGGGGCCTCCTCCTCCTCCTCCACCCGCGAGGCCGTTGCCGTACTGCGAGGAGGAGGAGGACGAGGAAGGCGGGCCCCCGAGGACGACGACGCCGGGATCCCCTTCGCCGGCCAAGGCCGCCGCCGCCGCCAGGGCCCCTCGCCCACCACCGCCGCTCGTGGCCCGCACCGACGCCATAGACCCCGCCACTGCCGCCTGCCGCACCGCCGCGCTCCGATTGGCCGCCCCGCGCCCGCCGCTCCTATTGGACCACTCCGCTCGCTGCCGCCCTGCCGCTATTGGTCAGTCCGCCGCCTCGCGCCTTCGCCCTCGCACCCCATTGGCTGACCCTCCGCGTCAGCCACGACGACGCGGGTTGACATTGGACGCCGCTCCTAGGTGGGGAAAACGTTAGGCGTGGTTGGTTCGAAAATGCCTCGTCACCGCCCCCTTGTGGAGCTTCCCCGGCAATCATTGGTGGAGGTTACCCGTCAATCACAATTAGTCCAGCTGCGATTGGATGGCGCACCGGTAAGGGGAGGGAAGTGTTCCACATAGGTAGCGCTTATTGGTTCTAGAAAGCCCCGCCGCCCCCTTGTGGAGTTTCCCCGGCAACCATTGGTGGAGATTACCCGTCAATCACAACGAGTCGAGCTGCGATTGGATGGTGAACCGGTAAGGGGAGGGAAGTGTTCCACATAGGTAGCGCTGATTGGTTCTCGAAAGCTCGTCACCGCCCCCTGGTGGAGCTTCCCCGGCAACCATTGGTGGAGATTACCCGTCAATCACAATTAGTCGAGCTGCGATTGGATGGCGCACCGGTAAGGCGGGGAAGTGTTCCACATAGGTAGTGCTGATTGGTTCTCGAAAGCGCCTTGTCACCGCCCTGCCGCCTGGTTGGACAGAGCTCAAGGTCTTCTCCGCCTCCTTTCCTCTGATTGGAAGCAACCGCCATCAATTAAAGCAGGAATGGGCCAACTTGGGCCCTCCCTCCAGGTGTTTTGGACTTCAACTCCCACAATTCCTAACAGACAAAATACAAAATGTGAGTCAAGCTCTGAAAGGGTTAAATGGATGCGATGACTCAGCAAAAGATGCAGTTCTATATAAGCAGGTGTGCCCGTAACTTAGTAGGCCTCAGTCTAAGGTAAACCTCAGTGGGAGAAAGGTCTAGCGTGAGGAAGGTCTCAGTGTGAGGAAGCCTCACCAAGTGAGGTAGGCCTCAGTCTGTGAAAGCCCTCAGTCTGAGGTAAACATCAGTGGGAGAAAGGTCTCAGTCTGTGAAAGAAGGCCTCACAGTGTGAGGTTGGCCTTCCTCTGTGAGAGAAGCCTCTGTGTGAGGTAGGCTTTAGTCTATAAGAAGGCTGAGTGTGGTATCTTGGGAGTTGTAGTTTGTTATGATCCCAGAAACCAGAGCCCCTGGTGGAGCAGTGGGTTAAACCCCTGTGCGGGCAGGACTGAAGACCGACAGGTCGCAGGTTCAAATCCGGGGAGAGGCGGATGAGCTCCCTCTATGAGCTCCAGCTCTTCATGCAGGGACATGAGAGAAGCCTCCCACAAGGATGATAAAAACATCAATTCATCCAGGCATCCCCTGGGCAACGTCCTTGCAGACGGCCAATTCTCTCACACCAGAAGCAACTTGCTCCTGACACGACAAAATAAATAAATCCCAGAAGCCATTAGTGGAGAAGGCTAAATGTTAGGCTACAACTCCCAGGATTCCATAGCATTGAGCCATAGCAGTCAAAGTGGTGTCACACTGCATTCATTCTACAGTGTAGATCAGCCATGATGGGCCTTCCAGGTGTTTTGGACTTCAACTCCCACCATTCCTAGCAGCCTGCTTTAAAACAAAATACAAAATGTGAGTCAAGCTCTGAAAGGGTTAAATAGATGCAACGACTCAGAAAAAGCTGTAGTTCTGTATAAGCAGGTCTGCGTGTAGCTTAGTAGACCTCAGTCAGAGATAAACCTCAGTCGGGGAAAAGTCTGAGTCTGTGAGAAGGCCTCACAGTGTAAGGTAGGCCTCAGTCTGTGAAAGGCCTCACAGTGTGAGGTCGGCTTTCGTCTGTGAGAGAAGCCTCTGTGTGAAGTAGACCTTAGTTTATCAGAAGTCAGAGTGTGGTTTCTTGAGAGTTGTAGTTTGTTGCGATCCCAGAAGCCATTAGTGGAGAAGGCTAAATGTTACGACTACAAGTCCCAGGATTCCATAGCATTTAGCCATGGCGGTCAAAGTGATATCACACTACATTCATTCTACATCAGCCGTGAACAAACTTGTGCCCTCCCTCCAGGTGTTTTGGACTTTAACTCCCACGATTCCTAACAGCCTGCTTTAAGACAAAATACAAAATGTGAGTCAAGCTCTGAAAGGGTTAAATAGATGCAATGACTCAGCAAAAGCTGCAGTTCGATATAAGCAGGTGTGCCTGTAGCTTAGTAGCCTTCAGTTTGAGGTAAACCTCAGTGGGAGAAAGGTCTCAATCTGTGAGAAGGCCTCACAGTGTGAGGTAAGCCGCAGTCTGTGAAAGGCCTCACAGTGTGAGGTCGGCTTTTGTCCGTGAGAGAAGCCTCTGTGTGAGGTTGGCCTTAGTCTATAAGAAGTCCGAGTRTGGTATCTTGGGAGTTGTAGTTTCCCAGAAGCCATTAGTGGATAAAGCTAAATGTTAGACTACAGCTCCCGGGATTCTGTAGCATTGAGCCATGACAGTCAAAGTGGTGTCACATTGTGTTCATTCTACAGTGTAGATCAGCCATGGACAAACTTGGGCCCTCCCTCCAAGTGTTTTGGACTTCAACTCCCACAATTCCTTGCAGCCTGCTTTAAGACAAAATACAAAATGTGAGTCAAGCTCTGAAAGGGTTAAATAGATGCAATGACTCCGCAAAAGCTGCAGTTCTATATAAGCAAGTGTGCCTGTAGCTTAGTAGCCCTCAGTCTGAGGTAAACCTCAGTGGGAGAAAGGTCTCAATCTGTGAGAAGGCCTCACAGTGTGAGGTCGGCTTTTGTCTGTGAGAGAAGCCTCTGTGTGAGGTTGGCCTTAGTCTATAAGAAGTCCGAGTGTGGTATCTTGGGAGTTGTAGTTTCCCAGTTTCCCTGGAGAAAGCTAAATGTTAGACTACAGCTCCCAGGATCCTGTAGCATTGAGCCATGATAGTCAAAGTGGTGTCACATTGTGTTCATTCTACAGTTTAGATCAGCCATGGACAAACTTGGGCCCTCCCTCCAGTTGTTTTGGACTTCAACTCCCACCATTCCTAACAGCCTCTGAAGGAGGCTTCAAGGGTCTCTGAGTGAAATTAAGTAAGGGGCTTTGAATGAAATTAACAGCAAAAGAGAGACATATCCTTTCTCTGACTTAAAAAGAGCAATACGGAAGAAAATGTTTTTAAGTACAAGACGGAACTTTTCTTACACAGGATGTTGTTGTGGTTAACTTCAAAGGTTGTTTTTGAAGCGCAGAGGCCGCATGTACAAGAAGGTACTTTCCATCAAAAGGTCAAGAGAGGGGGCTGGAGTACTTTCCATGACAAAAAATGTTCTTGTTTACTTGAGGTTATATATTTGGTGGTCAAAAGCCAAAGGGGCATGGCAGTCACTTGAAGGGTAACATTTGTGTATGTTCCTGGCTGTCTGTCTTCTTCATGAAGAAACTAAAATAAAACCTTGTTTTTTGATCTTTCATTGGGACTGTCTCCTTCCTTTCATGTTCCTGTGACGTGGACCTAAGAAGACCCAATTTAGGGTCTCTAACACCTCGGGCCATTTATTTTCCCCCCTCAGCCGCTTGGCCAGTGAAGGTAGCAACCCTAATGCTATTGGATGCCTGTGTAATGGCTCTAGCTTCTCTTTTTTTTATTGGCCGCCTTCTTACTATAGTTTTTCATGATTGGCCCGGACCAAATCTTAGCATTTCTCTCTTAATGCAATATCAAGTTTCCCACTGCAGTTAGGAGAACTGGCCATGTTTGTGAAGAGGACAAATATAATTAATAATTAATACTTGATTAACAATTAATGAGAGTAATTAATTAATAATACAACCTCTTAGTCTAAATGGCTGGTCTGTATTCTGGATCGTAATATGTTTTTGTGGGAAAGAACAAGATAAAGTTAGAGAAATGGCTGTTTTGAAATGTTATATTTATCAAAATATATTTGAATACTTATTATAATCCAATAGATTCAGGACAGTGAAGAGAAATTACACGCTTATGTCTTAAAAGGCTAAAATACGAGACAAATGGGCAATCTACCCATAACATTGAGGACAAATGTAAAATATGGACCAAATATACCAAAATATGCATTTAAAATAGAGTATAATGTTATTTATTTATTTATCGTGTCAGAAGCTAATTGAGAATACAGTAATAATGCACAGGAAAACTACAAACAATTAATTAATTATTAATTAATTAAAAACTGGGCATTATGCTAATTTTCTTTGACCAGAAGCTGACTACTTGAAGTGCCTCTGGGGTGGCTGTGAGAAGGTCCTCTATTATGCATGTGGCAGGGTTCAGACCACATTGTAGTCCATGGTCTGTGGTTTGCTCTTCTCCACACTTGCATGTCGTGGACTCCACTTGTGGTCCCATTTCTTAAGGTTGCCTCTGCATCTCGTGTTGCGAAAACACAGCCTCTTTAGTGCCTTCCAAGTCTCCCAGTTTTCCATGTGCACAGGAGTGTGTCTCTCATTTGGTATCAGCGATGGGTTGAGGTTCTGGGTTTTAGCCTGCCACTTTTGGACTCTTGCTTGCTGAGGTGTTCCTGCGAGTATCTCTGTAGATCTTAGTCCTTTCATTATTGGCTGCTATTTCCCGACGGATGTCAGGTGGTGCAGTACCGGCTAAACAGTATAGTTTATCACAGAATGTCTATGCCCCACACCACTGAAGAAACAATACTGTTTAGCCGGTATTGCACAACCTGACATCTACCAGGAAGTAGAAGCCAGTAATGAAAGGACCAAGACAGTGACATCTTCGGCCCATCCTCTGTTCAGATATCAGCCAGTATGCAAACGCCTTAAATCAAGAAATAGCTTTCTAAGATCTACAGAGATGCTCACAGGAACACCTCAGCAAGCGAGAGTCCAAAAGTGGCAGGCTAAAACCCAGAACCTCAATCTATGGCTGATACCAAATGAGAGACTCCCTCCTGTGGCATGTCTTAGTAAGAGCCACATCCACTCTTTTAATGTGGTGAGATAT